CTCAGAAGTGGTCTCTCTTCAGTCTAGTCTCCGTTCTGGCTCTCACAAGAAGTACTGAAATGTTTCTGGAACATTTTGGCTTATAGCAACCAGGAGATAGAGGTGGTGGCCTGTTTTAGTTCTTTATTTATCCATTTACTTATTTATAATTGAGTCACTGTGACAAAAATATTCATGCTTGGGTGTCAGTCATACTGTGTTCCAACGCCCATCCCTCCACCAGTGGACATTTCCCACCTCCAATGTCCCCCCACCTCCACACTTCCGCAGACTGCCTCTGTGACCTGTGACAGGTACTTTTCCTCTCTCTCTCTCTCTCTCTCTCTCTCTCTCTCTTTCTCGTTTCTTTTCAAGTTAGTAATCGAATGGTTTTAACTGCCAAGGTTCAAATGCTGGGGTTTCTCTATACAGCTGTGTCCTTCGGCCCATTTCAATTCCCTTGCCTAAGTTTCTTCTCTTACACTAGGGGAGATAACAGATGGCTCTGTGGGGCTATTGGAAGGTGAAATAGGTAATCAATCGATGTGCTGCTGAGAGCTCGCACCTGTGAAATAAATGAGCTTCTACAACCTGCTTCTTCTGCTGCTGCTTCTCCTTTAGTTATTTCCGTCTGTGGATTCATCTCTGTTTTTTTTAATTTTTTTATTCTTACTTCTTGTGTCACACCCGGCGATGCTCAGGGGTTATTCCTGGTTCTGCACTCAGGAATTACTCCTGGCGGTGCTCAGGGGACCAGATGGGATGCTGGGATTCGAACCCAGGCCGGCCGCATGCAAGGCAAACACCCTACCCGCTGTGCTATCGCTCCAGCCCCTGGATTCATCTCTGGAAAGTAGCCTGGTGAATCTTCCATTTACCTATTTCCTCTTTTTTTTTTTTGGCTAAGCAAGATTATATATACATATATATATACATATATATACATACATATATATTTTTTTTTGCAGTGTTGTTAGGGCACACCTAGCAGTGTTCAGGGCTTACTCCTGGCTCTGCACTCAGGAATCACTCCTGTTGGGCTCAGGGGACCATATGAGATGCCACGGATCGAATCCGGGTGACCCACATGCAAGGCAAGTGCTTTATCCACTGCAATATCACTCTGCCGCCCCCCTCCCCCCAGCCAGATAGTTTTTATTGAAACTTGTTTAGAAAGATGTGAGGGGAGAGAACGGGGGAAGTGTGTGTTCAAGAGAGAGAACACAGGCCCAGGGAGAACATAGACTTACACAGCAAGTCACATATTACCTCTTTGTCTTTTATTATTTGACTTAAAAAAAAAGAAACCAAGTATTGCATTCCAAGCAGAAATGTCAAGCGATTTTTTGCTGTGATAACAAACATTTGAATGCCATGGTAATGAAAACAAATCATGCCTTTGGACATTTTTTCTTTAGGAATCAGAGGATGTGTTTTCAGAGGGGTGGACAGTGAGTCATCGTTCTGATAATGCAGCAGGAGGCCCCAAAGAATGTCTCCCCCATCTCTTGTCAGGGAAGCAGCCAGTTCCCTCTGCAAAGTCAGGCCCACGGTGATTGGGGGAAACTAAGGCACCTGGGCAGGGCTGGAGTGGAGGAGGGGTGTGTGTGTGTGTGTGTGTGTGTGTGTGTGTGATGGGGGGGCGGGAGGGAGAAAGACAGACAGAGAGCGAGACAAAGAGAGACAGAGATAGAGACACAGAGATTACTACAGTTAGGGGGATGAGTTCTTGGGGCAGAAATGGAGGACTAGCAAGGTTTCTCTGAAGACACTCGTCTAAGCTTCTTCCCACGGGCCAGAGAAATAGTCCAGCGGGTAGGGCTGGACTTGCATGTGGCGGACCCAGGTTTGGCCTCTATCGTCCCTGGAGTACTGCCAGGAGTGACTCCTGAGCACAGAGTCAGGTGTAACCCCTGAGAGCATTGCCAGGGGACCCCAAACAACAAACGAACAAGGTTTCTGTCCAGGATCTCCAACGGTGTGGCCTCTGTGAGCCTGGGAAGCCTGGGCTGGGGTAAAGGTGGCACCGGGCACTCCTGTCGCGCAGGAATTTGACCCCTGGCCTCTCAACACTGACTGCTGCTTGTGTAGCCCTCCAGAGGGTGTTTGTGGGTGCGGCTTGGCACTGAGTGGGCTCAGAGTGAAAGGAGACAGGAAACTGGGAGGGCTGGAGCTGCCAGGAACACTTCAGGGAGGGGATGGAGCGAGGCCAGCCCTGGAATGGGGAAATATTGCTCAATTAGAGGCCGGCCCGAGAGCCCACAGAGCGTTTCTCCTTTGCATGCCTGGCCTCGGAGGAATCTGGGACTATCGCTGCTGCTGAAGGCACCTGTGGCCAGTCCTGGAGGGGCGGTGACTTGCCTGGGTCGCCAGGCAGTTCAGGATGCCCTGGGCAAGGCCCTAGGGGAGAAGCGGAAGGGAGGAGGAGTGCCCAGTGAGAGCAGGGGACAGTGCAGAGGGCACATCCTGGGGGGCAGGGGGCTGCATGGGAAGGCCCTGCAGCAGAATGTAGAGGAAGGAGGGAAGGGGGGAGGGGGGCTGGAAGGGGGGGAGGCTGGGGTAAACACTAGCAGAAAAAGGAGCGGAGGAGGAGCTGAAGGGGTCAGCAAGATGTCTGTGCGATGCGTGTGATGTATGAGTTCATGTGTGTGAGTATACATGAGTGACGTGGTATGTGCAGGTGTACTTGTCTGTGTATGCGAGTGAGGTGATATGTGTGTGAGTGCATGTTGTGAGAATTATGCAAGCAGATTCTTTTTTCTGGTGGGGGTTTTGGGGGAAGAAGAGGAGGGGGATTCCCCTGATCACAAATATCACAGGACTGTGAAATCTGTGTGGGTCTTCAAGCAGCAATGGAAAATTCCAGGGGAATTCTCTCTCTCTCTCTCTCTCTCTCTGTCTCTGTCTCTCCATAGTTTCTCACACAAACGCTCACATACTCTCACACTCTTACACATTTACACACACTGACATTCTCACGCTCTGACACACTTTCTCATACATTTACTTTCACACACATTCTTACACATGTGCACACATGCTTCCACATTCTCACACACTCTCACACTCACATACTCTTTCTCTCATGCATACACCCTCTAAACTTACATACTCACACAGTCTTTCTCTTACACAGACTCTCATACATTCTCTCTTCACACACACACACACACACACACACACACACACACACAGAGCAGACATCACAGTAAACACAGTTTCCATGCACAGTCCTCTGTCTAAACACCAGGCCTTCTCCAAAGGCCTCTGAGGGTGCCTATGAGAAGTTCTTCTGTCTAATTGAAGTGAACGCTGAGAAGGCACCGAGAAGGGCGTTTTAGCCCCACACTCTACCCCAGACACCACAAGGCTTGATCTGAGCTGACCAACCTGGCCAGCTCTCTGGTGGGGCTTGACATGTGTCAGACTGGCTTTTCTAAAGGTTCCTCAGCTGCCCCTCGACCTGTGCCCTGTGGGGCGGGGAGGGGGTGGTGGTGGAGGGGAAGGGGAGGGAGGGCCAGGGAGGGAAGAAGCGGGGTGGTGCTTTGCAGTCAGTGGCTGGATTGGTAGAAGAAGAGAGACCAAAGGTATGCTCCCCGTCTTGGAGGGATTTGCGATTCCTGGGAATTGTTTCCCTGGTGGCTTCGTGTGGGGGAGCCGATGAGAACTGGAAACTGGAGCCCTTTACACAGAAAATGACAGGGGAACAGTGAAAGGAAGGAATGGGACATGCATGTATGCGTGATAACATTTCGGTACCTGAACTGCAAACCATGATCCCCAGAAGTGGGGGAGGGAGAGAGAGAGAGAGAGAGAGAGAGAGAGAGAGAGAGAGAGAGAGAGAGAGAGAGAGAGAAAAGGAGAAAGAGGGAGAGGGAGAGGGAGAGAGAGGGAGGGAGGGAGAGAAAAAAGGAGGGAGAGAGAGAAAGAGGGAGGCAGAGAGAGGGAGAGGGGGAGAGAAGAGAGAGAGAGAGAGAGAGAGAGAGAGAGAGAGAGAGAGAGAGGGTAGCAGGGGAAACTGAGGGCTTTGGTGGTGGGAAATGCACCCTGGTGGAGGGATGCGTGTTGGAACATTGAATGACTGAAACCCAATCATGAAAAACACTGTAACTGTGTATATCTCCGGGTGATTTAATCAAAGAAGAAAAGGAAAAGAAAGACAGGGATGGGGCCGAAGCCACAGCACAGCGGAGGGGACGTTGCCTTGAGCGCAGCCAACTGGGGTTTGATCCTAGGCACCCCCCTATGGTTTCCTGAGCCCTGCCAGGTATCATCCCTGAGTACAGAGGCAGGAGTTAGCCTTGAGCACCTCTGGGTGTCCCCCTCCAATCCCCCCTTCACCCCCCCCCAAAAAAAGGAAAAGGACACTGCCCTGCTAAGTGTTTGAGGACAAATACAAGAGGGCTTGCACACGCGCTCGCTCGAACACACACGGGTGTATCCAAGTGTGTCCCCTTGTCCCAAGACACCACGTCCTCCCCAACAGCTCCAGGAGGGAGTCAGCAGCATCACCTATACCCCGGGTGTGGGGGTGGGGGACACGGCCAAATGTCCTGCAGGGGTGGGGCCCAAAGGTGACAGGCACCCACCACACCTGTCCTCACCACACCTGGTTTCTCCTTCCTGGGACACCTGCAATCCGCCGCCAGGAGAGTGACGCGGGCTCGTGGGGGCCTAGCGGCAGGATAACTGATCCCACGGCTGCGGACCCCCAGGGGCAGGGTGGAGTGGGCAGGAGGAGGCCCAGAGTGGGGTCATGCATGCACCTCCCCACGAGCCCGGTTCCCGAAGCGGAAGGAAGGAAGCGGAGGGCCCCGGGGCCAGAGAAACCAGCCCGGCCGGGCCCACCTGGGGTCAAGTTACCCGAGACCTGATCTCTCCGGCGGGCGGGCGGGGAGGAGGGTGGGAGTCCGGGAGGACCTTCGGGAGGCGGCCGGGGGCAGCAACGCGGGTGTCCACCCCCGCCCCCAGCCCTCTGTCCCTCTGCTTTAGTCTCCGGGGTCTTTCCGCGCCTCCTCCAGGGAGCCGTCCTGCGCGCACCCGGCTCGGACCGAGGGGTCCCGCGGGCATCGGGGCCCCGGGGGTTCGGCGCGCCTGGCGGGCCGGGACCGCTGCGCCCCGAGGGCGCGGGCAGGTGGGCGGCGCGGGGGGCGGGGTCTGCGCCCGGCAGGTGGCGGCGGCCGGGCCCGCCCTCGGCGCCAGGCGACCCGCCCGCACCTAGCGGATAAAGGCCGCGCCGCGCCCGGGCCGCCCGCCACCACCATGTCGCTGTCCCTGCACCTGGGCACCCCCGGCTTCAGCTCGCGCTCCGCCGCCTACTCGGGCCGCGGCGTCCAGGGGCGCGCGGGCGGGGCGCGCCCCGGCCACTTCGGCAGCCGCAGCCTCCTGGGGCTGGGCGCGTCGCGGCCCAGCGCGGGGGTCCCCGGGGGCGCGGGCATCCGCGCCGTCACCGTCAACCAGAGCCTGCTGGTCCCGCTGCAGGTGGACATCGACCCGGCCGCCCAGCGCGCGCGCCAGGACGAGCACGAGCAGATCAAGACCCTCAACGACAGGTTCGCGTCCTTCATCGACAAGGTGGGCGCCCCCTGCCCCGGCCCCGGCGGGGGTGGGCGCCGGCGACGGGTGTGCGGCCGCCTGCCGTCGCGGGTCCCCTCCTCCCCGCGAGCCCCGCGCCCGAGGGACACAGAGCGCGCCGGCTCCCAGCCCCCTGCCCAGAGCGCTGCCCCCAGGCCCAGCCTTTCCTCCTGCAAGTGGGCGCGCTGGCTTGGGTCCCCGCCTCCCACCCTGCTGGGGTCTGCCGGGGTTCCAGCCGGCCAGCAGCGCGCTCTCTCGAGACCCCTTTCCCTTTCCAGTGCGGAGGTGGGGACATGCCCTTCCTTTCCCTGTGCCGGGCCGTGCCTGCCTGACCACCCCACCTTCTAGGACAGGAGGCGCTCAGTGCCCTTTGCCCGGCAGGGTTCCGAAGGGTCCGGGAAGGGGCTTTGGAGACTTTTCTGGGTCCCACTTGTGAGTCCCACAGTGGGTGGGGGTGTGGGTGGGAAATGGGAGCAGCTGCTAGTTTGTTTGTGTGTGTGTTTTTTTTTTCTGGGGACCCAGGGAGCTGAATACCCAGCCCATCCTTCAGGCCGGGCCTCCTCCCTCAGACTAGACCAGATCACTCTCTGCCTTCCTCTGTGCTTCCCTGTCCTGAGCTCCCTGTCCCTTTTCAGGGTTGGTTGGGGCCCCCCCACCCCCCAGGTACCCCCAGGCAGAGGTCCTCTCCTGCTGCTTGAGCCTCTGGCTTGGTGGAGGGGTTGTGGTTAACCCGCCCCCCGCCAAACCTTCCTATACTCAGTGCTCTCGGGGCAGACAACATAGCAGGTGCTCACTGAGCACTGATTGCGGAGCTCAGAGGTCCAGTGTGAAGGGAGGGGCCAGGTCATTCTGGTACAGACCGGAAGAGGCAACCCTGGCGGGCTGGGGGTGGAGGTGTGCGCCCAGGGGAAGGAGGCCTGAAGCACAAGCCCAGGATCCGGGGGCATGAGCCAGGCAGCCCGCAGACCTGAGTTGAGGGCCAGAGTCTTGGGGAGAGGCTTCTGGGCTGGGCTTCCCAGGGGTGCGAAGGGGACTGGAGGGGCAGGGCCTACGGGATGGGGGCGGAGAGGCTTCCTGGGGCTTCCCAGGGCCGGGGTGGTGGGATGGAGTAACGGGCAGCGTCTGGCCCGGCGGTCTCCAGCTGCCCTCCCTTCTAGGTGCGGTTTCTGGAGCAGCAGAACAAGCTGCTGGAGACGAAGTGGGCACTGCTGCAGGAGCAGAAGGGCACCCAGAGCAGTAACCTGCCCGGCCTCTTTGAGGCGCACATCGCCAGCCTGCGGAGGCAGCTGGAGGGGCTGCATGCCGAGGGGGGCCACCTGGAGGTGGAGCTGCACACGGTGCAGGGCGTGGTGGAGGACTTCAAGAACAAGTACCGTCACCCCTCGCTCCCCGTCAACCCCCCTCTCTGCCATCCCCCACCTCTCCTGGCCTGTGTCCCCCGGAGGTCACCTCGCCCTCCTCCCCCGCTGGGCCTGGGCTCTGGGGGTAGACACAAGAGCTCCCCAAAGGGAAGGTCATGACTAACCTGACCCCCTGCTGGCCTTTTCCCTGCCTGTCTCTGTGGGTTGTTTCAAGCCATTCTGGTCTTTCTCCTGTCTTCATCCCCGTGAGCTGCTCCTGCCAGCCCGCCCTGCCCCTGTGTTCTTGGGGTGCTGACCAAGACTCCAGGAAAGGGTCGGGCTTCAGGTCTGCTCTGACAGGTGCGCTCCAGATCTTGTAGGACCCGCACAGATCATTCTAGAATGAGGGCATTTTGTTCAGCTCGGGGGTTCCGAGTGAGGAGAGGCTCAGGTTCTTCTTTTTTTTAAGCATTTCATTTATTTATTTTTTAATTTTTAATTTTTTTCTTCTTGGGTCACACCCAGCGATGCTCAGGGGTTACTCCTGGTTCCGCACTCAGGAATTACTCCCGGTGGTGCTTGGGGGACCATATGGGATGCTGGGAATCGAACCCAGGTTGGCCGCATGCAAGGCAAGCGCCCTACCCGCTGTGCTATCACTCCAGCCCCAGTATTTTATTTATTTTTAATGAAATCATTGTGAGATACAGTTTCAAAGGTTTCATGTTTGAGTTTCAGTTATGCAATGATCGTACACCCACCCCTCCACCGGTGTACATTCTCCACCACCAGTGTCCCCAGTATCCCTCCCCTGCCCCGTCCCACCCTCCCCCCTGCCTCTATGGAAGGCAATTCCCTTCTTCTATTTATTTATTTATTTTTCTTTTTGGGTCACACCCGGCGATGCCCAGGGGTTACTCCTGGCTCTGCACTCAGGAATCACCCCTGGCGGTGCTCAGGGGATCATATGGGACTCTGGGAACTGAACCCGGGTTGGCTGCGTGCAAGGCAAACGCCCTACCCGCTGTGCTATTGCTCCAGCCCCGGAAATTCCCTTCTTACTCTCCTTTTGGGCATTATGATTTGTAGTACAGACACCGAGAGGCCATCGCGTTTGGTCCCTTATCTGCTTTCAGCCCACCGCTCCCGTCCCGAGCGATCCCTCCAACCATCATTGGCCTGGTGGTTCCTTCTCTACCTGCCTTCTGCCCCAGTTCATGAGGCAGCTTCCAGCCCTGGGAGGCGCAGGATCTTGACTGTTCCTGGGAGAAGTAGGACAGGGGTTTGGGGTGTCCGACCCCCAGGAGGAGCCCTGGAAAGCAGCTGTTGGGGCAGGGCCCCAGAAGGAGGCTGGGAGTGGGGCCAGGGAGGGGCACAGGAAGTGGCCGGGAGATCTTTGAAGCGCCCTGGTGCCCTTTTCCTCATCAAATAGGAACAGGAGCCTGAGGCCTGGGCCTGGCTCCATGTGGCATTCCTGCCCAGCGGGCACTGTGGGGAGGAGCCGGGCTGTGCCTCGCATGTATGACTAACCCAGGGCCCAGCTCTGACCAGGAGGCAGAGCAAACAAAGGCCTCGGCAGAGGGGCCCCTGTTCCCGGGGCAACAGTCAAAAGGATTAATCCACAACAGGTGGAAGCTGCGGTTGCTGGGTAGGAAAGCCTGTTGCTATGGGTGCCAGAGAGTGTGTGTCAGTGTGTTCGTCTGTGTGCCTGTGTGTCTGCGTGTGTGTGTCTGTGTGTGTGTCTGTATGTCTGTGTGTCTGTATGTGTCTGTATCTGTGTGTGTGTCTCTGTGTGTGTGTCTGTGTGTGTGTCTGTATGTCTGTGTATCTGCATGTGTCTGTGTGTATCTGTGTGTGACTGTGTGTCTGTGTGTGTGTCTGTGTGTCTCTGTGTGTCTCTGTGTGTGTGTCTGTGTGTCTGTGTCTGTATCTGTATGTGTGTGTCTGTGTGTGTCTGTGTCTGTATCTGTGTGTGTCTGTGTTTATGTGTGTGTCTGTGTGTGTATGTATGTCTGTGTATCTGTATGTGTCTGTGTGTATCTGTGTGTGACTGTGCGTCTGTGTGTCTCTGTGCGTCTCTGTGTGTGTCTGTGTGTCTGTATCTGTGTGTGTGTATCTCTGTGTGTGTGTCTGTATCTCTGTGTATCTGTCTGTGTGTCTGTGTCTATGTGTGTATCTGTGCGTGTGCATGTGTGTGTGTGTGTGTGTGTGTGTGTGCGTGCCTAAACTCCTTAACCTGAAACCCTCCCGCCCTTCCCTGGGAGCCAGCCCTGAGCTGGGGCCGAAGGGGCAGAGCTCGGGGTTCAGTGCCCAGCAAGCTCCCCGCTATCCCTCCGCAGCCCCCAGGCCCAGCTGATGGCCAGGCAGCCCCTCCGGTCTTTCCAGAACTCTTCAAGGGGACCCGTAGGAGCCCAGGCTCTTTGACCGGCCCTGGCCGTGGGCCCCCGGGCTCCCCAGCGGATTGGCTCTGCTTGCTCCTGCTGCACCCTGCAGCTCTCAGCGCTGCTGAGCTCCTGTTCTGACACAGTTTTTGTGTCTCCAGATAAAAACAAAACAAAATGGGATTTTCCCCTGCCCTGTGCCCAGCTTTGCTGGTGCCTTCTATGGGGACAGGACAGGGAGGGCAGCTGTGGTCGATGAGGTGGCGCTCGACCCCTGGCTTTCAGCCATCATCCTAGGACCCGTGCTGGTCAGCCGTGGTCAGCAGGTGCCAGTGCAGGTTAGACCATCTTGTTGGGCCCTGGTTCCTTTGCACCCGCTTTCTGTGTCTACTCGCAGGCAGTGGGCCAGAGTATGGGTAAGGCTTGGGCAGTCCACAGCCAGGCTTCAGGTCTGGCCAGAGTTCTCTGCCATCCTGGTGATTCCACGGACAGAGGCTGTGCGGGGGATTAGAATCCCGAGTCTTTCATAGGACGCACACACCAGCGCTGGTGCCCCCCGGGAGGGTTCCCACGGTTCTGATTTCTAGCTCCTGGTACATATGGCCTTTCTCCTTTAATCGTGTCTATGCATGCCTCCTGCTTCCCTTCCTCCCACTCAAGTGGGAGGTTTTGGGGGAGTTGGGGTCGGCTACACTGCGAGTCCTAGGAATGGGCAGAGGGAAAGGCATGGCGATTTCGTTTTCTGCTTGACACCCCGGAGAATCACCGGGGTGGGGGTCGGGAGTGAAGGTGATGTGGAGTAGGTTAGCACAGTTAGACATGAAGCGGGGTTCAGTGCCCAGCAAGCTCCCTGCTTGCTGTTAAAACTCTGTTAATCCCGCCCTGCCTGGTACTTCAGGTACGAAGATGAAGTCAACCACCGCGCAGCTGCTGAGAATGAGTTTGTGGTGCTGAAGAAGGTGAGAGTCCAGCAGGGTGGGGAGTGATGGCTGAAAACACCCAGGGCCAGGGATCACATGGCAGCCACCGGTGGGGGGAGGCAGGAGGGGGGCAAAGTCTGGCACATTCCTCCAGATTCGAGGGCTCAGGGCAGCCTCAAGTGGACAGGATGGGCTGAGTGAGCTCCCCAGCCTTGGAGATGTGCAGGCTGAGGGTGGGAGGCCTTGGTTTGGAGGGTTTGATTTAGGATGCATTTACAATTCGGGTGCAACATGCTCTCACCTCATTTTTCTGGGTCCAGCCACAGAAATGCAATGTGGAGGGAGTGGGCGCCAGGGATTCTGGGAGGAGTGCAAGCGGGTCTTCCTCAGAGGTGTTGAGCCTCAGGAGGGAATGAGTGAAGCATCAGGAGAAACATCTGTCAGGATCTGCGGTATCCGCCAAGGCTCTTCTGTTTTAGTACTAGCCAAGCTCCGCTTTCAGCTTCCAGGACTGAGATTTCCCCTATCTCAAATAGCGGTTTCTGGCATTGGAGTGATTTTATGTTTCCCTGTTTGGTGCGAATTTATTGTTCACAGAGATGAGGAGACTCTCTCGAGGTCACATTGCCCACAGTGGCAGGAACAACCATCCCAGACTTTAGGAACTGGCCAAACACTGGCTTTTGGGGGAGTTGGGGTCAGGCTATTCTGGACTATGGTGCTGGCCCTCCTGTGGTCCTGGGATGCATGGAAAGGCCATCAAGTCATCAGCCTGGCCAGGGTTGGTAGAGAAAACTTCCTGTGTGGGCCTGCCAGGGAGCATGGAGAATCATGCTTCTGGGAAATCCAGGGAACTGGGTCCTGTGGGTTGGCTAACTTCTGAATAATGAGGACAAGTTTCTCTATCTCTTCTTGCATTCCTACTTTCTTCCCAGGATGTGGACACTGCCTACATCAACAAGATGGAGTTGGAGGCTAAGGTGGAAGCCCTGAACGATGAGATCAACTTCTTGAAGACTCTCTATGAGACGGTGAGGACCTTGGGGGTGGAGGACATAACATATCCTACGTACTCTGACCAAGGCCAACTGGTCTACCCGCTACTTCTGGCTAAGTCTCTGTGTGTGTGTGTGTGTACGCATCTATATATGTGGTTGGTTCTGTTCTTTTCTTGATCCTCTTGGGACCCAGGACTGGCCTTCTGGAGATGTGGGATAACCATTTGTCATGAGGGAGGATGGGGAGGATCTGAATGGAACCAAAATAGTGTTGAGGGATCCTGAGCTAGGCAAGACTGGTATGACAGGAGCGTAGAGATAAGAGTGCCCGTGGGTCCTTTACAGAGGGATCGAGGGTCAGTCACCCTTTTGGTGGATACATGCTCCTCACATCTCCTTTCATGCCTGGGCTCCAAGCTCCTTTCCCTCCCAGGATTCCAACACCTCTCCCCTCTCCTCAGTGCAGTCTCAGGCCTGAGGCAGAAGATGGGATAGCCCAGCCTCTGACAAGGCTGGTTCAGGACATCATGGAGACATCTCCGCTTTCTTCAGTCTAGTCTTTGCCTGTCACGTGGCTCTTAGAACCAATATATGGTTATATAATTGTGTTATGCCTGTTTATAGAATTATTTTCCTCTCGTTACAAAAGGAACACACACTTATTGCGAACTATCCAGATCATAAAACGTAAATTTGAAAATTACTCAACTATACCTACTCATCATCTTTGTATCTGCTTTTCCCTACGTAAATAGACTCCTGTATTTATATGCATATATATTTGTGTGTGTGAAGCAAGACAATTTTTACTGGAAGAAGTTGACTTAGAAAGATGTGAGGGGAAGGAGGAATGCATGTTTAAGAGGGAATGTGAGCATCTCCAGATGGGAAAAAAAAAGCAGAAGGAGAGAGATATGTGTTCAAGCGAGCATGGCCTAGAAAGAGCAAGACTAAATACATATTTTAATTAAAATAGGATCCCCATGCAACAGTGCACCATGGATACGTTTCCCGACTCTCAGGACAGCAGAGTACTGCTTCGGGGTGGGGTCTGCCTGGTTTTCCCCGCCTCTGTCAACCCCCTTTACAGGAGTACTTATGCTCCAGAACAACCCCCCCCTCCCGCTCCACAGCCGGGAGCCCCCACTATGAACCATTATCTCTTTCCCTTGTCACCCTGTCAGATTCTCACTTGGAAAGTGGCTCAGGGGTTGGGGGTGGGGGCAGGTGTGCAGAACTGCTTAACGGGTGCTGGCCTGCACCCCTCACTGGCTGTGACTCAGGCCTGCTCCAGCCTCTTCTTCTTCTTCTTCTTGCTGTCCTCGTGCGTGGGGAAACCCGGAGGAATTGTGGGACAGGGATGTCCTAAGCCCTGACTTGCTATCTGGTTCGTACAGGAGTTGGCCGAGATGCAGTCCCAGATCTCGGAAACGTCTGTGGTCCTGTCCATGGACAACAACCGCTCCCTGGACCTGGACGGCATCATCGCCGAGGTCAAGGCCCACTATGAGGACATCGCCAACCGCAGCCGGGCTGAGGTTGAGACCATGTACCAGACAAAGGTGTGTGGGGCCGGAGTTCTCCGGAGAGAGTGCTCAGCAGGGCGGTTGCTTCCCTTGCTTCTTCGCTATCTCGAGCTCTCAGTGTCTGGAATCCACTGTTCTGGGAGGTCCTGGTGGGTGAGTCAGTGGCACTCTGCTTCCAGGGAAGACAGGAGTGAAGCCCTGGGGGAGAGCACAGCCTGATGGGAAGCAGAGAAAGGAAAAAGGAAAAGGCACAGACTAGTAGTACTGATAGTACTAGTAGTCCTAGTAGTACTGATAGTACCAGATTGGCCAGCACTCACAGCACTGGGCTAGGTTTACCCCTGGTGACTGATTTAACCCTTAGAGCAGCCCTCATAGATAGTACTGTTATTCTCACTTTACAAATCGTGAAACTGAGGCACAGAGAGGTTAAGTAATTTGTCCTAGGCCACATAGTTAAGTAGATGGAAGAGCAGGGACTAGCTCCTGGATCTTAGAGTTTTTTTTTTTTTTAATAAAATAAAATTTAATGTAATATACTTTAGACTCCAGAGTTGAAAATGTATATATGTAAATGAGAATAGGCATTTTATTATATTGTATTAAATGTTTCAATTTTCTCGTTTACATAAGTCAAATCATAGAGCATTCACAAATTGGCTCTTACTGATTTCTTTTCTTTTTTTTTTTAATTTTTATTAGCATTGCATGTACTCAGGGAGACAGGACAACTGAGGTACTGAGGGAGGCTGGGGCAGGTAGCAGAGGGTGTACCTTTCTTTCTCTCTCTTTTTCTTTCTTTCTCTAGATCTTTCTGTCTTTTCTTCCCTTTCTTTCCTTCCATCCTTTCATCATTTCTTCCCCTTCCTTTCATCCTTTCTTATCTTTCTTTCCCTTCCTTCCTTCCTTCCTTCCTTCCTTCTTTCTTTCTTTTCTTTCTTCTTTCTTCCTTTCTTTCTTTTCTCTTTTTTCTTTCCCTCCATCCTTCCCTCCCTCTTTCCTTCCTTCCTTCCTTCCTTCCTTCCTTCCTTCCTTCCTTCCTTCCTTCTTTTTTTTCCTTTCCCTTCTTCCCTCCCTCCCTCCCTTCCTCTCCCTCCTTCCCTCTCTTCCTCTCCTCCCTCCCTCCCTCCCTCCCTCCCTCCCTCCCTCCCTCCCTCCCTCCCTTCCTTCCTTCCTTCCTTCCTTCCTTCCTTCCTTCCTTCCTACCCTCCTTCTTGCATTCCTCCCCGTCCTCGTGGGCCATACTCAGGGCTGACTCCTGGCTTTGTGCTCATGGATCACTCCTGGCAGTGTTCGGGGACCAAATGGGGCGCTGGGGATCAAACCCTGGCTGAATGCATGCAAGGAAAACACCAAACCCGGTGTACTAGCTCTTGGGTGCCAGAGAGGCATTTCAAAATTCAGAGCCAGGGAGTCAGCATGCCCTGGGTTAGACACACCAGCCAGGGAAGCTGGGTTCATGCCCTCCTCTTCCTTTGATCTGTGTCCTGGCCGGCAGTTTCCTAGTCTGGCTCTCACTCATCTGTGAAGTGGGCGGTTCATTGAGGAGGGTGCTTAGCAGTGAGAAGCTCAGACTCCCAGGGCATCCCTGGCACCGGGACTGACAGGAATGGGAAGAACTCCCTAGTCGCTGCAGGGGGGTCTTGGAACACATCCTTGTCCTCCCTGCTCTTCTAGGGAGGAATCTGCCCCACCCACTGCTCACAGTGGGCCCCTCCTGGCACCGGGTGAGGACTGCTGGGCATCGGCTCTGTCTCCCCGGCATACTGCCAGGAGGGATGGGCGCTAAGGACCTGGGCCTTCCTTGCTTGGGGTGGGGCGCGTCACTGTAACGGCCGCCCCTGCTGTACTCCAGCTGGAGACCCTCCAGGCGCAGGCTGGCAAGCACGGGGAAGACCTGCGCAACACCCGGAATGAGATTGCCGAGATGAACCGCGCCATCCAGAGGCTGCAGTCTGAGATCGACAACGTCAAGAACCAGGTGGGACCAGTGTTCCGCCCGTCTCCACCCTGCTCCACCCTGTGCTCGGCCTCGTCTCCGCCCTCCCTGCCCAGGCTCCACCCTCCCCTGCCCTGGCCCCGCCCTCCCTGCCCAGGCTCCTCCCTGCCCTGTCCAGGCTCCACCCTCCCCTGCCCTGGCCCCGCCCCCCCTGCCCAGGCTCCTCCCTGCCCTGTCCAGGCTCCACCCTCCCCTGCCTTGGCCCCGCCCTCCCCTGCCCTGGCTCCGCCCTCCCTGCCCAGGCTCCTCCCTGCCCTGTCCAGGCTCCACCCTCCCCTGCCTTGGCCCCGCCCTCCCCTGCCCTGGCTCCGCCCTCCCTGCCCAGGCTCCTCCCTGCCCTGTCCAGGCTCCACCCTCCCCTGCCTTGGCCCCGCCCTCCCCTGCCTTGGCTCCGCCCTCCCCTGTCCTGGCTCCGCCCTCCCCTGCTCTGGCTCCTCCCTGCCCTGTCCAGGCTCCGCCCTCCCTGCCTTGGCCCCGCCCTCCCCTGTCCTGGCTCCGCCCTCCCTGCCCTGGCCCCTCCCTGCCCTGTCCAGGCTCCGCCCTCTCCTGTCCTGGCTCCGCCCTCTCCATCCTGGCTCCTCCCTGCACTGCCCAGGCTCCATCCACCCCTGCTGAGCCTCTGACATCCCCTTCCCTGACTCCGCAGTGCCCCCACCTGGTACCCGCCGTCCTCCCGCAGCACCTCTCCCCCCCCAGGCTCCTCCCTCTCCGTCCTGGCCCAGGCTCCGCCCTCCCCTCCCAGGCTCCGCCCACCCCTGCCCAGGCTCCGCTATGCTCTGTCCAGGCTTTGCCCTCCCTGCCCTGTCTCCGCCCTCCCCTGTCCGCCTCTGCCCTCCCCCGCCCTGCCCTGCCCAGGCTCCGCCCTCCCTGTTCTGGCTCCTCCTGCCCAGGCTCTGCCCTCCCCTGCCCAGGCTCTGCCCTCCGTGTCCTGGCTCCTCCCTGCCCTACCCAGGCTCCACCCACCCCTGCTCAGCCTCTGACGTCCCCTTGCCTGACTCCCTTGTGCCCTGACCTGGTACCCGCCATCCCGCCACAGCACCCCATCCCTCCCCAGACCCCCCCCTCTCCCGCCTGGCCCAGGCTCTGGTCCGCTCTGTGGTCTGGCGAAGGGCGGCCCTCTGAGGCCAAGCTCCGAGTGAGGAGCAGGAGGTTGGGGCTGAGGGGTCCGCTCTGCCTCCCCTCTCTCCCAGCGCACCCACCCCAGCCCCTGCCCCACAATCTGCTCAGCTCAAGTCTCTTCTCAGCCCACTTGGGAGGTTTCCAGGATGGAAAGTTCTGGGCCTGGTCCCGGCTCAGGCAGAAGGGAGGATCGGTTCCGAGCATTTGCCGTGCCCCCAGCTTTGGTGCAGTGTGGAGCTTAGCGCGGGGGACAGAGCGGCAGGGGCCTCTGCATACCTCACCCATGGCCCCCTTCTCTTGGTGCCCTGCCTCGTGTGCTCTGGCCACAGTGGCCTGCTCCCCACCCTCTGCGCGCCGTGCATTTGACATGCTTCAGGGCCTGCACACGCTGATGGCTCCCCTGGAATGCAGTTCTCCCAGCTTTGCCAGTGCTGCCCCTTCCTCAGTGCTGGGGCCTGGACAAGGCCCCCCCCGCCCAAGAGATACCCTCCTCCCCTCCCCACCCCGGCACAGCCATCACCAGCCGTGGCTGAAGCTGCCTGAAGCACCTGTCCGAGTTGGAACTTTTCTGTCTTGTTAAACAAGGTCTTGACTGGCCCCATCTCCCTTGGAATATGAAAAAAGGACCGGGAGAGCAGGGATCTGTCTGGCGGGTTCACTGCACCCCTCTTTCCAGCACGGTGGCCGAATCAGGGCAGGAGAATGTGCTTCCGGAGGGTCCCCAAGCTTTGACTGGGAAGTGGGGAGCAGGTGTGACTGCAGTGGGGAGGGAGGGAGGGACGTTCTCAGGCAGGAAGTTCATTTTCAGATGAGCAGAGGGCTGAAATGTGGGGAGGCTTACCCAGCACCTGTCCCCCCCCCCCCCCAAGCCCCGCAGGCCTGTTGGGGCTGTCGTGGTGGCTGCCTCTGGCCCCAGCGAAGATGCATGAGTCACCTGTGGAGCGAGTGGCTTGCATGCAGTCGAGGAGGCCCGGAGGAGTGACTGGAAGGGCAGTTCTCGCCCTGCAGTTTCCCCAGGTCCTACAGAGCAGGCTCAGAGCTGGGCGCTGCTGCCGTGGAGGGACCCAGAGGCAGTGTATGGCCAAGGGGCCACCAGTGGGCCAGTGTGGCCAGTGGATGAGTGTCTAAGTCGAAGTCACCATCCGCGGTGACGGGAGTTCCTGGTGCGTTCCGGGCCGCTAGATGTTCCCCAGCTGGCCAGCCAGGGATGAGGAAGGGGTTACAGACACAGCACCAGACCATGATTCGAGTCCACAGACCAGATACAGGGGAGAGCAGCCGCTCGGGAGCGAGGGGACAGTGATATGCTGGGAAATAAGGCCGGGAAAGTGTCGCACAAAGGAGAAGCTTAACACCAGCACAGAGAATTGTGGGAGAGGCTGGAGCCATAGCACAGGGAGGGCGTTTGCCTTGCATGTGGCCAACCCGGGTTCGAATCCCAGCATCTCATATGGTCCCCTGAGCACTGCCAGGAGTAATTTCTGAGTGCTGAGCCAGGAGGAACCCCTGAGCATTGCCGGGTGTGACCCCCTCCCCCCCAATAAAAAGAAAAAGAATTGTGGGGATCCGTGGGGAATTGCAGAGCCATGGCAGCGCTGCAATGGGCGAGGCCAAAGGGTGGCAGGGAACTCAGTTAATGTGACCGCCTAGCAAGGGGCACAGACCTGAGGCTTAACTCTCGTAACAGAGGAGCACTGTAGCATTGTAGCACGGTCCTCCCGTTGTTCATCGATTTGCTCGAGCGGGCACCAGTAACGCTCCGTTGTGAGACTTGTTATTGTGTTTGGCATATCGAATACGCCACGGGGAGCTTGCCAGGCTTAGCCGTGCGGGTGAGATACTCTCGGTAGCTTGCCGGGCTCTTCTAGAGGGGTGGAGGAATCGAACCCGGGTTGGGTGAGTTGGCCGCGTGCAAGGCAAACGCCCTACCCGCTGTGCTACAGCCCAGTAGAGGAGCAATGATCACAGATTATGGGACTGTCCTCTACCTCTGCTTCAAGGAGAAACCCCGGAGGTCTGGTCCACAGGGCGGCCTTGTACAGATGGCTCGGGTGCCGGGCCAGAGGGGCATCCAACAGATGAGGGTCAAAGAGAGCTTCTCGGAGGGAGAGGGGTGAAGGCAGTGGGCACAAGAGCAGGGAGGAGGGAGAGCAGAGACAGCTTAGTGAGAAGGAGGGAGACGGGGAGGGCCCCGGCAGCATCCCTGCCTGACAAGAGGGTCCCTGGACCAAACTAGCTCCTGGCAGTGGGTGCAGGTGGGGCCCCAGCTGAGGGAATTCTCCAGCAGGGCAGAAAGTCAACGCATTCGAGCTGAAGGGTGACATCTCCCTGCTCTGGCTTCTGGGTTTGTAACTGGCTCCTACAGAGACGGGAGTTTGGGGTTGTAACCTGCCTGGTATTTGGAGATGCAAACCAGAATCTCAGCGTCTTGGAACTCCTCAGCTAGATGCTGAGAGATGGCCTTTATAAACCAGAATAGCCTTTGTTAATAATAGTAATCACCGCAGAATTTATATGCCCTTAGTGTATGCCAGACATTGTGCCAAGGACTTGGGTATTACCTCATTGACCTCACGTTACCCTCTTTGCAACAGTGCTGGGAGGTAGACACCGTGATCTCTTTTCTGTTGTAGAAAAGAGGAAACTTTGGCTTAGTTTGCAAGAGTTGATCACCACGAGGGCGATCGTGTCCCAGATAACCAGGGGTGGAACGCGGCCAAGCAGGCCGGAACTGGGACCTAGCAGAGGGCACCAAAACCCAGGGTTTGGATGCTGGCGTGTGCTGACATGTTGCGGTGCATGACACAGCAAGGCATGCATGTGCTCTGCCTCTGAGCCATCACTCCCGTGCTCTATCTCTGAACCATATCTGGCGAGCCCAGGGTTTGACCCCCAGGATTCCTGGGGGGTGCCTGGGGGTCCACCGTGAGCAAGAGGCCCAGTAGCACGGGAGACAGAAGAGCAGCGGCTGGGGAGAAGTGTCCCCTGCTCACTGCCCGCTCCTGCCCTCAGCGTGCCAAGCTGGAGGCCACCATTGCCGAGGCAGAGGAGCGCGGGGATCTGGCCCTTAAGGACGCCAGGAACAAGCAGGCCGAGCTGGAGGCCGCCCTGCAGAGGGCCAAGCAGGACCTGGCGCGGCAGCTGCGAGAGTACCAGGAGCTGATGAACGTCAAGCTGGGCCTGGACATCGAGATCGCCACCTACCGCAAGCTGCTGGAGGGCGAGGAGAGCCGGTGAGGGGCTGTTTGTGAGGCCCGGAGGGGCCTGGGGATGGGCCCCATCCATAAGCATCCCGTGAGTGTGTGTGTGTGTGTGTGTGTGCGCGCGCGCATGCGCGTGTGTATCTGTAGGGTACAGCTGGTGAGTTGACTTTCTAGAAGGAAATGCCTCAAGCTGGCAGGAAAGTGAAGGTGAAATAACAGAAACCCCTCAGGATCGTGGCCCTTCCTTAGCAGGGTCTCCTAATTTGACCCTCAGAATACATCCAGGCAAGCAAGTCAGGTATTGCTGACTTCCACACTGACACATGAAACTGGTCCGTTTAAAAATAAAATTTGGGGGGGGGGCTGGAGCGATAGCACAGCGGGTAGGGCGTTTGCCTTGCATGTGGCCGACCCGGGTTCGATTCCCAGCATCCCATAGGGTCCCCCAGCACCGCCAGGAGTGATTCCTGAGTGCAGAACCAGGAGTAACCCCTGAGCATCGCTGGGTGTGACCCAAAAAGCAAAAATAAAATAAAATAAAATATAAAAATAAAGGGCTGGAGCGATAGCACAGCGGTAGGGCGTTTGCCTTGCACACAGCCAACATGGCCGACCCGAGTTCGATTCCTCCGCCCCTCTTGGAGAGCCCGGCAAGTTACCAAGAGTATCTCGCCCACACGGCAGAGCCTGGCAAGCTCCCCGTGACGTATTCGATATGCCAGACACAGTAACAACAAATCTCCAATGGAGACGTTACTGGGCCTGCTCGAGCAAATCGACAAACAACGGGAGGGCCTTTACTTTTATCTTTATAAAAATAAAAATAAAATTTTTTGGCCACACCCAAAACAGTGATGCGGAAGGTTGCTTCCCCTTTGCACTTAGGAACTACTCCTGGTAGTGTTCGGGGAACCATATGGGATGCCAGGGTTCAAACCTCAGTCCCTGGTACTCTCCCACCAGTATCTCTCTGGCCCCCAAATTACAAGTTTAAAGTAGTTCAGTTTTGTTAACTGTGGGCCAGGGCCAGTGGTAGCCAAGCTTTTGTGATTTCTAGCCCAAGCATCTTCCATGACACTAGTCTGCTTCTTGTCACATGCTCTGTCCCAGGGGATCGTCTGCAGGTGGAGCGGAAGACCCATTTCCCTCTGTCCTCCAAGACATTTGCATCCTCATCTGCAGCTGGAGAGGAGGCTAGAACAGGCCAAGTGGTACAGGGAATTCTGTGCCCTGGAACTCACATCCGTGCAGTTGAGCCTTTGTTCTCCCCGTGGTGGCTGGTGGATTCAGTCAACAGACAAGGCGGTGGGGCTGTGGCCTGTGGGGAGCTTGGGGTCTGGAGAGAGCAAGAGGGGAAGGTTTAGAAACTAAACCTATTGCTTGCTGGAATCCAGCCACTGCGGACAGAGAGAGATAAATCTATGGGTGGTGCAAGATAGAGGTGTGTGTGTGTGTGTGTGTGTGTGTGTGTGTGTGTGTGTGTGTGTGTTGGGGGGCAGGGAGACAACATCTGAGAGGCGCTCAGCAACCAGAATGCAGACTGACCAAGAATGTGGGCTTCCCCGGGAGGCTGGGGAAAGGAGACTAGGCTGGACTGATGGAAGGGGAGGAATTGGAGAACAAGGGGGCAGTGCGTGGGAGCTGAGCCCGAGCGCTGGTGGTGACAGGGTGGGTGCTGGCGGCACACTGCAGAGGACAGGGAAGGCAGGAGGAGGCGAGGTCTCGGCCCTGCAGCAGGGCTCCTCCTTGTCAGCAGCCAGTCTTGGCCGGAAGGGAACAGGGAAGACTGTGCAGCTGATCTGGGGCTCAGGCCTGGCTGTCCCTGCTAAGCTGCCCCTTCACCAGGGATGTTGGGGCCCCATTTTTCGGGGAGAGCAAAGGGACCTGGCAGGGGCCTCTTTTTCCTTCCTGAGGTCAGAGCTGGAGGCTTGTGTTCTCTGGTCCTCTTTGTCCCTGGGGCAGCAGCTCCGTGATGGTGGGTGGCAGGTTGAGGGTGTCCATCTCCCCCTAGGATGAGGACGGACACCTCATTCCTACCTGTTACCCTGTGGGACCTTTCCACAGGGGCATGTCCAGACTGTGGTCCAGCAGTTCAGGCAATCCAGGAGACCTTATAAAAATACCAAGGTATAAGTTTAAAGTGGGCCAGAAGAAAGAATATTTTATTTAGGAGGAGAAAGGAGCAATCATACATTTGAGTCCCTTGCTTCTGAGCGTGAGAGGCTGCGTCAGATCCTTTTAAGGGTGTCACAGCTGCTGCTGTCGTTGGGCCTGTCCCTGCCCAGAGTTTCCACCTCGGCGCCTGGAAACTTCCTAGCACACCTGTCTTGCCCTTGGCCTTCCTGGGTTGGCGGCCACTGAGGCCTGCTGGACTCCCCTCTCCCCCTCCACCTAAGCCAGGTGTCCTCCCTCCTGATCCCCAAAGTAAACTCATCCCCAAGGCAAAGGGCTTGGTAACAACGGGCTGTGAGTCACAGAACTCCAGCTGTGTCTGTGGATTTTTAATTTCGAGTGTAGGACCTGTTTGGGGCCCACAGGCTCTTCCTGCTGACTCTCTCCTCTCCAGTGCGAGCCACGCTCACTCATTCAACAATTCTGACTATTTCCACACACATTACGTAGCGCTAGATCTGGAACCAGGACCCGGAGCTGCCGCAACCAGGAAGTTGCAGGCTGCTTGAAGGACAGGAGGACTGGGAGGCAGCCAAGGGTGTGAATAATCAGTCTCGTGGACTGAACCCAACACCCTCCCGTCCCCGTGCCCTGGCCAGTGGATTTTTTTTTTTTTGGTTTTGAGTCACACTTGATGATGCTCAGGGGTTACTCCTGGCTCTGCACTCAGGAATCACTCCTGGTGGTGCTTGGGCACACATGGGATGCCAGGGATCGAACCTTGGTGCAAGGTAAATACCCGACCCACTGTGCTATGGCTCTGGCCTTAGGTTAGTGAACTTCTGACTCTCACAGACCACCTGTGAGGTTGGTGTGGAGGGACCCCATGACTGGTGAGTGTCTGGAGGCTCTGAGGCGCTGCCCACAGTCCTGGAAGAAAATGGGAAGGTCCGAGACCTCCAGCCATCCCCTCCACTGACACCCGACTGTAGATCAATCGGGCCTCCAGCGCCCATTCATTCCAGCAGATCAGGTGGCTGAGGAGAGCTCTCAGAAGAGAGTCTGCGTTGGCCAGGTGCCAGGTGAAACATTTATTGAGCTTTACGAGTCGGGGGGAGGGGGCTCTTGTGCAGGAATCAGAAACACAGCAAAACTGAAAACAATTCCCAAGACTAATGTGTAAGCCGATATTAGAGTCTATTTTCAACAGAGACTCAGGGAGTCTGCGTGCTGTGGGTGACCTTGCAAGACCCTATGGACACCGAGCCCAGTGCTTGCATGGGGCCTCTGTCCCTGGGGAGCACTGTTGTGTGTGGCCAGGTGGTCCCTGCCTGCTTTGCCCACGCCATGGCTACGGCACCTCCACCCCCGCCCCCCCCCCCCCCCCCCCGCACACCCTGGTGGGAAGAGCCAAGGAAGAGCCTTCCTGCGCCTGGCTGGGGTGGCCGTCCTGGTCTGCAAGAGGGCCACACTCACTACCCGGTCTCTGCTTTGCCCTCAGGTTGGAAGGAGATGGAGCAGGTGCCATGAATATCTGTAAGTCTGGTGGCGCCCCTCCCCCATCCCTGTGCTGTCCAGGGTGGGCCAGGGCTTAGGAAGGGAGGCCACTGTGCCCAGGGCCACCCAGGGGTCTCCTTCAACAACCGGGCTGAGGGTGGCAAGGGGCATCTGTGGCTCAGCCTCCCCCGTACCCCACGCCCTTTGGGGAGCCCCTGGTGCCCCGTGCTGAGAAAGCTCTCCTCCTGTCTCTCTCAGCCGTCGTGAATTCCACCGGTGGCAGCAGGCTGACCTTTGGGGGCACCATGGGCAGCAATGCCCTGAACTTCTCCAGCAGCGGAGGTTCGGGGCCCTTCAAGTTGCCTTCCTTCAGGACTTCCTCTGCCTCTCGACGGAGTGCCCTCAACTGAACCCCAGCAGGGAGACCCACCCCTCCACACACAGTCACCCGCAACTCCCTTTCCCGCCTACACCTCCAGGCCCCAAGACCATGAGTCTGGAAAAGGATGTGAGGATGGTCCCCAATAAAACAGCCTCTGAGGTCTGGGAGAGACGTGCCTGGCGCCTGCCCTGCTGGCATCACTCTCATGGGCTGTGGCAGGGTGGGGGGCTGGGAGGGGGGCCTGGGTCTGTCCTGGCTCTGGGAGGTGCCCTGGAGGAGGGGGAGGTCTGTTTTGAGAATTGAGCTCCCACACGAGTCCTTCCAGTGCAGGCTGAGCCCTAGGAAGTCCTGCAGGCAGGCCTGGCTCCGGGGAAGCGGGCCGAGCCGTCTGCTGTCGGGGCCGGAGGGCTCTCCTGCTGCCCAGTGTGCTCCCAACTATCAACTGTGCTGCCCTCAGCTCTCCTGGTGCGGGGCACGTCAAACATGGGGCCTTGGAGGGTGCTCTCTGGGGCTGGGTGCGGGAAGGTATGTGTGTGCCTGTGTGTGTGTGTGTGGGGGGGCGGTGTCTGTATTCCTGACAGGCAGCAGCATCTGTGACGGCTACCGGAGAGGATGTGTCAGGAGTCCCCCCACCCGTAGGTGATGGCGGGGTGTGGGGGTGTCGTTGAGGGAGCGTTGAAGACTTTGCTCTCGTGGTCAGTTTCCTGCTGAGGCCGAAGCGGAAGTGTCCTGTGTCCCAGCAGCTGCAGGGATGAATCCCACCTGTGGCGACGGGGAGCCGGGCCCTCCCTTCTGGGACTCTGGCCGGCTGGCTTCTCACTCGGGGGTGAGGGTGTCTGGAGCGTGGAGAGGGGCTCTTTGCAGACCATCTCTGCGGGGCCTGGAGGAACTGGGCAGGAAGTGGCATGCAGGCCAGAATGAGTTCTGTGTGGCCCCTGAGCAAACGAGAAGCCACACGAACGAGAAGGGAGGGTGCTGAACCCCTGTTCAGCCCACCCCCGCCCCCACATGCCCAGCACAGCCCCAACCGTGTTGCGGGACCACTGCTCCCTCCCGAGGCCCCAGAGGGTCCCTGGACCAGGACTGGATCTCAGCCCAGGACAAGGTTACTGTCATTGACACACCTGAGCAGGTGGGGCAGTGGACAGCGCAGAGCCTGTCCTTCCTACGAAAAGGGAAGAGAGGAGGGCAGGGACTGGAGTGATAGCACAGCAGGGAGGGCGTTTGCCTTGCATGTGGCCAACCTGGGTTCGATTCCCAGCATCCCATATGGTCCCCCGAGCACCGCCAGGGGTAATTCCTGAGTGAAGAGCCAGGAGGAACCCCTGTGCATCGCCAGGTGTGACCCAAAAAGCAAAACAAAAGACAAAAAACTTGGGTTTGGATCCAGAGCAATAGTTAGTACAATGGGTAGGGCATTTGCCTTGCATGCAGCCGATCGGAGTTCGATCCCTGGTATCCCATATGGTCCCCTGAGCACTGCCAGGGGTCATTCCTGAGTGCAGAGCCAGGAGTGACCCCTGAGCATCGCCGGGTGTGACCCAAAAAGAAAAAAAAAGGAAGAGAGAAAGTGGGAGGGGAGCAAGTCGCGGGAAGCCAGCAGTTGGGGCGGGTCAAGCAGGCTGTTTCTGAAGCCCTTGTGGGGTGCCAGGCTCGGGTTCTGTAAAGCCTGGAACCCCGGGCTGGCAGAGCGGGAGGCGCTGGGAGAAGCGGCCACAGCTGTCTGGGGCACACACTCGCCCGTGCTCCCTCCAGGTTCCTGCAGGGGGCGCTGCCGCCTGGAACCTGACATGCAGAAGTCCCCCAGGACAACCCCACCCTGGGAGCTGTTCACACCTTGGTGGGGTGGGGGTGGGGAAAGGGGGGCTTCGTTCTGGTGCCCCCTTAGTTCAGGGACCCCTGGCTGCTGACAAGAGTCCCATCTTTTGCTGGGAACCCGCCCTCCCTGCACCAATCATTTCTTGGTATTCCTGATGGCCTTCGATCAGTAATAGTTGCTTACAGTAGTGGTTTACTCCTGGCTCTGTGCTCAGGGATCTCTCTTGGCTGGGCTACAGGACTGTCTGTAGTATCAGGGATGGAACCCCAGCAGACTGTGTGCAAGGCAAGCACCCTGCCCACGATACTCTCTCCAGCCTCCTTCTTTCCCCTTGTGCAGGCCTCCTGTTTTTGTAAAGAACAATTTGACAATGTACTGGGCTGGAGCGATAGCACAGCAGTAGGGCGTTTGCCTTGCGCGCAGCTGGCCCGGCCGAGCTGGGTTCGATTCCTCTGCCCCTCTCAGAGAGCCCGGCAAATTACCGAGAGTATCTCGCCCGCGCGGCAAAGCCTGGCAAGCTACCCGTGACGTATTCAACATGCCAAACACAGTAACAACAAGTCTCACGATGGGGACGTTACTGGGCCTGCTCGAGCAAATCGATGAACAATGGGAGGACCGTGACTGTGACCGTGACAGTGTATTGGTACCAGGCACAGACTCTTCTAAGTATTGCTGTGGCTGCTCTCAGGAGAAGGACGGAGGGGAGGAGGGCAGGCCTCACCTGTCCAGATGACTCACGACCTGGGAAACTCACGTTCCTCTCAGGGAACACTTTGCACACTTGGAACCCAAACCCCTCTTGCCCCTCCCTGGGTCGGTCTCAGGATCCAGTACTCGGACATTCACAGCACCAGTGCCGCACACAGCCAGCGGGGAGAACAGAGACAAAAAATTAGTTGGAGAGAGCAAAGCTTGCAGTTTCCACCTCCAGGAAGATTAGATGCGAATCACATGTAAACAGTATGTGAGCACGCCACTGGCTCCCAGTCCAGTTTTCGGGGAGAGGGGGAGGTCTCATCCGTGTCCCCACCTCTGCTCCCTGCCCTCCAGGTGGCAATCTCGAGGTCCAGGCCCAGCTTGGGGTTCATCACCTCCTGGTACGCCTTCACCAAGCACTTGGTCTCCAGCAGCTTGTTCGGCTGCTCCAGGAAGTGCCTCTGGTGTGGAAATGGGGCTGGGGTGGGCGGGTGAGTGTGTCAGTCAATAGGTCCAGCCCCACTCCCAGAGCGGGTGGAGCCAAGGCGGCCAGGCTGAGGGTGGGAGTGGGCGGTGCGCCTCTACTGGGCTCTTCCCTCCTGAGGAGACACGGGGAAGCCTGGCTTCATGACTGTTTAGGTGGGCACGGCCCTCCTCTCCCCTCACCCCTCCCTGGGCAGAGCCCTCCCCTCCCCTCCCCCCTCCCTGGGTAAGGCCCTCCCCCCTCACCCCTCCCTGGGCAGGGCCCTCCCTTCCCCTCACCCCTCCCTGGAAGGTCTCGAGACCTTCCTTTTACTTCTCCCTGGGCAGTATCTTCCCTTCCCTTCACCCCTCCCTGGGCAGGGTCCTCACCCCTCTCACCCCTCCCTAGATAGGACCCTCCCTTCCCTTCACCCCTCCCGTGATAGGACCCTTTCTTTGCCCTCATCTCTCCCTGGGCAGGAACCTCCTCTCGTCTTCTCCTGGCTTCCTTCCCCAAGATTAAGCACCAATGTTCTCACCAATGTTTACACTGCCTGCCCAGGGGTCCAGCTCCTGAGTGAGGGGGCAGAGACCCCCAAACTTTGGAATCTGCAGCTCCAGTGGCCTGGAGAGCTGGAGAGTGTTGGGAGCCAGCCACTCCCTCCCCCCTCCCACCCCCTGTCAGGGCATGGGCACTGTCAGGCTGGCCCTTGTCGGTGCCCCTCTCCTTCCTTTCCCGAGAACATTCCAGGACTGGCAGGTAGCAGCCCTTGCCCAGGCCCCTGTACCCCACCCCTCCCCCCGTACCCATTCATCATTTGTCTGGACGTGGATGTGCTTGACATTGACGCTGAAACGATGCTGACTTTCTGTGGTCACAGTAGTAATGTGTTCCCATAGCCCTGGGCACACAGAGACGGGCATCGCAGAAGCTCGTCTGAGATGAGCACCCTGCCCCAGATAGCTCTGAAGGAGCGTCACTCTCAGTTAAAAGCAGAAGAGTCACAAACATTAGCGACACGGCAAAGACATGTTAGGTGCCAATAAGATTCCCTATCAAAAACTCCCCCCCCCCCCTTATCAAATCTTGAGGCATGACACAAACGAAAGGAGAGAAATGTTCTTGTCGGCTTTCAGTGTTACTTAATGCTTTCTGTAGGCATCATTAACAGGATCATAAAAAATATCAGTTCATTCCGTTTTTGAGAGACTGACCAGATTCTCCAGCAGCTGCAGGCTTGGGAAGAGATTGATTAAGGATACCCCATCTGGTCTGTGGGGTCCATCTCTTTTCCAGGCTGTGTAACAGACCAGTTTCACCACTCAGGATACTTCGTCCTATCTTCTCTGTGTCCTGGATGTGTGTCCATCTGCTCCATCATCCCGGGAGCTCACCTGCTCCACATTCCTGCTGCCCCTGACTACTTCCCCAGTCCTAGCTAAGGAGGAGGTGGAGTTCAGGAAGGGCTGAATCAAGCCACCCACCTTTGATGAAGGCTGGTGACTGGTTAAGGCATCTGATGTGCTCTTTCTCCTTCTGCTTTATGCACCGTGCATTGGAGTCCGCGTCCAGCTTGAGGGGCGTGAGGAGGACTCTTGATGACGGACACAGTGGGGATGCAGGCGGGCCAGGTTCCCCCGGGAGCGGTCCCCGCAGATGCTTCCACAAGAGCCGGGAAGCCCCGGGTGATGCCTCTGTAGCAGGAGATGCTGCTGTCGGGGGCGGCCGTGATGCAGCAGCCATGATGCCCACAGACCGGCTGTGACGCTGCGGGGCAGCCTGGACCCCGAGTCCGCCGCTGCCTTATATCATGGACCCCGGAGCGCGACCCACGTGTGTACGAACTTGGAGATCGGCCCTAGCCCCACTGAGCCGCTAATCAAAGCTGGCCGAGCCGCAGGTATCTATGAAAAACCGTGTTCGCCTCCCGCCAGGGCTTTGTGGGGCCAGAAAGCTCCTGGTCTGCGGCCAGGGCGGGGCCCCCGGGGGCTGTCTGTCCTCCCAGGGAGCGCTGGACCATTTTCCCCAGGGTTGGGCATCAGGGACCTCAACTGCTAGTTTCATACCCCGTGCCCCACCCCTGGCAAGCCTGCAGGTCA